TGACGAGATTATCCAAATCGTTTTGCATTATATTGTTGATTTGAGTTCCTTTTATTATTTAGTTACATTACTCCTGCTTCTTAATTTTTAATTATTCTGCATGAATTATCCATTTGCGAAAAACAATCCTGGCTTTAGTGTCCTTTAACTACGAATTTACGGTCGAAACTGCAGTAGTGGCACAGGAAAATCGAAAAACCAAGCGGGGACGCAACTTCAATATTAAGCATCCATCGCCTTAGTAAGGCGCAGGGATACAACTATTTGAACACTCCGGAACGCGTGAGGTATTACGCCTCAATTGAAGGCGTTTTTTAATCTCCTGTAATAATTACATGACGAGATTTTCTGGTCCCATAACATTCGGAGCGTGGCAGAAAGAGAGTGACTGATCTTCCGAGCTTCTCCCACGATTACGCTCGCATCCCCTTGATTAGATTTTTGTGTCTTGCTTTTGATCCACTGAATTATGAGATCCGAATTTAATTAGACGAGCTTTGGCTCAAATTTAAGCTCTACATATACATTTTTTATCGCAGTTCTTTGAATTTTATTGTTCATTTGAGTATCTTTTATTTTGTGAAATTCCTATCGCTTCCTTGCTTTTAATTCCTTTATACAAATTATCCATTTGCGAAAGACTAGCCTACCTTGAGCGCCCTCACACTATGCGGACAAAGCAGCAGGAGCGGCAAAGGAATAACCCGAAAAGGCTAGCGGGAATGCTGCTTCAATATTAATCTTCCATCACCTTGCTAAGCCGCAAGGATACAACTATTTGAACTCTCCGGAACGTGGGAGGCATCTCGCCTCAATTGAATGCGTTTTCGAATCTTCCGCATTTACATGACGAGATTTTCCAAATTGTTTTGCATTATGTTGTTGATTTGAGTTTCCTTTATTATTTAGTTAAATTACTCCTGCTTCTTAATTTTTAATTATTCTGCAAACATTATCCCTTTGCGAAATACAATCCTGACTTTCGCGCATTTTAATTACGAATTGACAGTCGAAACTGCAGTGGCGCCACAGGAAAACCGAAAAACCAAGCGGAGACACTACTTCAATAACAAGCTTCCATCGGCTTGCTAAGGCGCAGGGATACAACTATTTGAACTCTCCAGAACGCGTGAGGTATCACGCCTCAATTGAAGGCGTTTTCGAATCATCCGTATTTACATGACGAGATTATCCAAATCGTTTTGCACTATATTGTTGATTTGAGTTCCTTTTATTATTTAGTTACATTACTCCTGCTTCTTAATTTTTAATTATTCTGCATAAATTATCCATTTGCGAAAAACAATCCTGGCTTTAGTGTCCTTTAACTACGAATTTACGGTCGAAACTGCAGTAGTGGCACAGGAAAATCGAAAAACCAAGCGGGGACGCAACTTCAATATTAAGCATCCATCGCCTTAGTAAGGCGCAGGGATACAACTATTTGAACACTCCGGAACGCGTGAGGTATTACGCCTCAATTGAAGGCGTTTTTTAATCTCCTGTAATAATTACATGACGAGATTTTCTGGTCCCATAACATTCGGAGCGTGGCAGAAAGAGAGTGACTGATCTTCCGAGCTTCTCCCACGATTACGCTCGCATCCCCTTGATTAGATTTTTGTGTCTTGCTTTTGATCCACTGAATTATGAGATCCGAATTTAATTAGACGAGCTTTGGCTCAAATTTAAGCTCTACATATACATTTTTTATCGCAGTTCTTTGAATTTTATTGTTCATTTGAGTAACTTTCATTTGGTGAAATTCCTACCGCTTCCTTGTTTTTAATTCATTTATACAAATTATCCATTTCCGAAAGACTAGCCTAGCTTAAGCGCCCTTACACTATGCGGTCAAAGCTGCAGTAGCGGCAAAGGAATAATCCGAAAAGGCTAGTGGGAAAGCTGCTTCAATATTAATCTTCCATCGCCTTGCTAAGGCGCAGGGATACAACTATTTGAACTCTCCGGAACGCGTGAGGTATCACGCCTCAATTGGACTGCATTTTGCAATTTGGAACTATAAATTCTGGCTCATCTGAAAAAACACTTGTGTGCATAGGGAAACTGATGGCACATACGTTGTTGTTAAACCGGGCTGGAATTTATAGTTCCTAATTGCAAAATGTAGTCCAATTGAAGGCGTTTTCGAATCTTCTGTATTTACATGACGAGATTTACTGGTTCCATAACATTCGGAGCGTGGATGAAAGGGAGTGACTGATCTTCCGAGCTGCTGCCATGGTTATGCGGGCATCTCCATGTTTAAATTCCTGTGTATTACTTTCATTCGAGTTGATAATGAGACCGAAATTCGGTTCTAATTTCAGCTTTATTTTACCATTCTTTACAGCATTTCTTTGCATTGTATTGTTGATTTTAGTTCCTTTTCTTCGTCACAGTCCTGCCACTTCTTTATTTTTAGTTCTGCTAAGAAAATGTTCAATTAGCGAAATGCCATCCTTGCTTGGGCGCCCCTACACTATACGGTCAAAATTGCAGGATTGGCAAAGGAATAACCCGAAAAAGCTGCTTCAATATTAATCTTCCATCGCTTTGCTAAGGCGCAGGGATACAACTATTTGAACCCTCCGGAACGCGTGAGGTATCACGCCTCGATTGAAGGCGTTTTCGAATCTTCTGTATTTACATGACGAGATTTTCCAAATTAGTTGTACTTAGTTAAATTCCTCCTTTTAACTATTCCTATATTCTGCATACAAAAATACGTTTCTCCCTTTAAAAATTGAATTTCAACGAAAGGCAAGCTTTTCCTCATTGAATGGATCATTCTCAAAAAGACTACAGTAAATGCAGTTGAAAAGCCTTTCAGTCTTAAATCTGCAGCTAACTAGTGCTTTTTAAACGGGTTTTCACTATAGTGATCAATTCAAATATGTTGGGGCTATATTTCAAAATTTTCGATTCATTTTGTGACTTTTTTAAGTCTAAATGACTATACTTCAGTCTAATTATTTCTAAAATACCTAATCTTTAACTATATTTAATTTGCAGATGAAAAAAATTAAACACTAAGAAGTGGCCCGAACTGTATGGAACAAGGTGGAGAAATGGTGCTGGGTCCACACCATTTCGCGGGGAAACAAAGCCAAGAAGTACCAAAAATTAAAATTAGAGTCAAAAATAAATTTTTAGAACTCTAATGCGCACCAGTACGTAACTGAGGGGGGAGAGTGTTCAGCTCAGGCAATTTGCATTGGAATATTAAGTTGGAGCCACGCCGAGAGTACTATACCGGTTTGGGCCTTATTACACCTCATCAGCAGATCACACGTACTCGGCAGTGAGCTCAGGCTCATAGGTGCAATTTTTACTCTTTTCATGCATACGTGTTTGAAGTTTCAAAATCACATGGATTCTGTGGCGGAAAGAAAGTTCCACTTGACTTTTGGATGCTTTAAAATTGGAATTTGGGAGCGAATTTTTCACAGAACATGCATTAATATTATTTTTAAACGGAATCATCAATATCTCAATTTTTCAAAAACTGCACGTTTGCGCCTCACCCTCCAAGCCCCTCATATAGTTTTACGAACGATAATCTTTATGTTCACATATTTTTTCTCGACTTTGAATTCTTGTGAAGAGAGAAAAATTTATGCGCAGCTTAATCGAAAACTACCCCTACCTAATTTATTTTCTAACAGCAACTTAATGAGTTTCTGTTACACTCAGAACTAATCATCAGCTGTACAAGAGTAATCAAAGAGAAAAGGAGAAAGAGAGACCATCAATCTTAACTAATAATTAGATAATGATATCAGTGAAATAAATAGATGAAGGAGAATAGATTTGAACAAATAATTTCCTCCTTACCTCACCGCGTAAATATATTAAACACATATTCACGCTGCATTACACAGTAAACCTCGGATTAATCCGAACTAAATCGGCGGTCGATCAGTTTGGATAACGAAAAGTTTGGATAATCCGGTGTCAGTCACTACTTTTCACATTTGAATGGAAAGTCAATGAAATCAATATATACTACTTTATGTTTATAGTTCAGTATGCAAAATTACTATACAAATATCAGAGAAATTGTACAACAAAGTTGTCGGAAAATTACACTGAATTTTCTCTGTGCTGCCGATAAAATTTAGTGACATTTTCGAACAGATTCAACCAACAGTATCTCTGTAAAAAATTAAAATAGCGGCGAAAATTTTGATACGTCACATGGCGCATGTGATACTTCGGCCGGAAGGTGACGATATTTCAGTATACTCATTCTGCGGGGCTGAGGAAAAACGCCGTATGAGCCTTCAGACATGGCCAGATCTCCTTTTACAAATCATATATTTTCAGGAGAAGTTGTAAAAATGTTTCCTCCAATTTTTCAGAAAATTTTTTCCTATTTTGATGTAAATTCTCTGAAAATTTCAAGGAAATATATTAATAACTTTTTTCAAAAATTAATGTTTTTTGAAAGTAAATTTGACAACATTTAAATGCTGAAACGACGTTTTATCTTCGCACGGTAGCAAACAAAATATGTTTGGTCGCCTTTTAAAATAATCCATGACTTTCCTCTGCGTACGGCCAGCCGCCTCTTTTTTAGCTGCTTTTGATTTCCAATTACTTAGTGAAAATGAGTTATTTCCTCCGACAAATGAATTTGGATACTCCAAGATTTACGGTTTTGTTTTTGTTCCTTTTTTTTTAAATCATAATATCTTGACCCAAAGATACTACACACGCATTAGAATTCGATTCATAAATAGAAACTTCTGAGTGAACACGAGAAATATCAGCTGTACATTTAAATTGAACAATTATTAGAAAATATGACTGGATTATCCGATTTGCTCACATGAAGGGAAATGCCACCGTATGACATCCGAAAGCGGTGAACTAAAGTTTTCTTCATTTCAATCGATCAGGAATAAATTGTCAGAAACGTTGTAAACGCAGTTCATCAATCACTTTCATACGAAACTAAAACATTTTGTGTAATTGATCAAAGAAAGAGTAGGAGAAAAGTTCATAATTAATGTATAATGTATTGCATTTACTGAATTTGAAGGCGCTGCACATGAAAAAGCATACAGCTACACAGGCAAACCTTGAACTTCGTGCAAGAAAATCTTCGTCGTTACATCACACTCATATTTACGGTAGATAAGTATTTATCAACTATTTTTCTTAGAAACAATACACTTTTTTTATTTTTTCATGCGTTTACAGAAGAACTCCAACCTATCCTTCATTCGGAGTTAGTTGCGTGGCGTGCTTCATGATACATCAATTGTTCTGCCATTTAAACCTTTGAAAAAGAATCGATAAACAGGGTGTTCGCAACGAACACCTCAATAATCGACCCTTTACCAGACTTCCAAATGGGGAAATATCGATAAACGATCATTCACACCACTCTTTAGAGTGGCATAGTAAACTGGATTAATTAGTATTAATTGTACTGTCATGCTAAGGAAGAACGCTGTATGAGCCTTCAGATGTTGCCAAGTTCCCTTCGATAAAAACCGAATTTACTGGACAAATTGTGAATATTTATTCCCAAAATTATCAGACGGTTTTGTACGCAATTGAATCTAAAATATCAGAAAATATCAAGAGAAATGTGCATGAATTTCGTCAAAGATACATGTTTTATTAAGGAAAATTTGGCAACTTTCGAATGTTTATACGGCTACTTAAAATGACCGTATGACATTCTCTCGTACAATTCAATACAATCTGAATTTTTGGCTCCCCATTCTCATTGAAGGTTGCTTTTGTTGATGGCCCATTGTTAACGTTTTCATTTGCCGCACAGGAGCAGACGTCTTCGTAGTTGCTCCGGTAATCTTAAAGTTTCGCAAACCTATGGCACAAATGCCTTTTTTCACCAACATGTGACCCTGCAAAAAATCACATATTTAGGTTGAAATTTAATTAAACTTTGAAGCGTGTGATGGGCATCCAAGATTAGAATATTGGAGAAGAGTGTGTTTTTTTCATCGCAACAGTGAAAATTCGGTCAACGGTTAGTGTTATGTCAATGAACTAAGGATTCTCGGTCTGTGAACCATACTTTCGCATGTACACCATATCATATGGTACATGTAAATCTAAATTTTCGTATATACACCCATTTTTCAAATTCTCTGTAAAGACGTTAATGGCCTGTGACGCTGAATATCTTAAAATATATTAAAAAACTAACTATTATAATACTTATTTTAAGTATGTACTCAAAGTTGGCGTTTTACACTGGGTGATGTGGAAGAAAGAAACTTGAAACCTCTTTCTTCTTGTTAAAAATTAATGAAACTAGATTCTTAGGAAAGTGGTTTAGTTATCTTCACATTAAGGGTCAGGATGATTCTTTAAAAAGAGTCCTATAAGACTCATTATGAAGATAATCATTGGAATCGTCACCATGGATACCTTTACAAGAATAGTTCAGTTCCTCAATCATACCTATTTTAACATTATTTAGAGCAGGACAATTCAATAGAGGTTTTGGTTTTTTGACACTTTGTCGGAAGACATGATGGATTTGGTAGCAACTCACATGTTTTTTGTTCATGAGGATGTCCTGAAGATGAAATATTGAGCCCAAAATGGCCATCATATGAAAGAAGAAAATTCCACGTATAGCTCGGGCCCAAAAAAGAAACGAGTGAGTTGCTACCAAATTCGATAGAGCTTAGCACTTTTGTCTTCTGTATACGGACCCCTACTTTTTGAAAACTCCATCTGTCTTTAGGCATGAATTGTTATATATTTGTAGCAGAAAGAAAGGTGTCAGCCTCATGAACGTAGAAGTAATTCGACAGTTTCATGTTTGAGTGATCACGAATTTTTAAACTGCTGTATTCTTAAAGTATATTTCAGATTGATGAAATCATTACTTTCTTACCTGTAAACCCCAACTGCTTGGAGAACTGTCCCGAATAATCCATTCGCCTGAAACCAAAAAATCAAATCAATAACATTCAATTGGACGTATTTCTGCCAAATGGAACGATAGACGAGTAGGCAAGATGGGGTGTTCTCTAAAAATCTGCATAAGAAAGAATGTTAAACGGCCGTGATTCCCTGTGGAAAAATGGGAAAGCGAGAAAGCGAGATTTTATATTTTGTCAAATAGAACTATGTGCCAACTGAATGCGGCACTCATGAGCCATGGGTATGTGACAAGACGTTGTGGACAGGACTCATGAGTTAGACCCCGAGGTGGAGCCGCGGCGACGCGTCGCTGACGTCACTGGCGCCTTATAATTTCCCTTCATTCTTACGGCCCTCGACTGACGAGCACACCCCTTCGTTCCCACATATCTCTAGCTCCGTTTGACAGAAATACGTCCAATTAAACAAACTTTTCATAAGAATGGAAGATTTGGTCAATTGAATGTTCCACTTTGACGCAACCAGATCCATTTTCTGATAACTTCATTTTTTCTTTTCGGTAACTCGACAAAAGAGAAAAACTACATCTATTGGGCGGATTAATTTGGAATCATCCTAAACGCATCTTACGTCTCCTAATTTTCTTTCCAATTTTATTTGCTCACAGAAAACTAAACAACATAAGTGGAATTTCCTGCAAATTTCCGCTACCTTGTAAAGAATGAACTACTAAAAAAATAATTACTTTTCGGTCAAAACACATGAAAAGAAACTTGTGGTGTCATTATGCTCATTCTAGTTTAATCTGTACGATTCGTCTCGAAAATGCAAGAATTTTTAATCAAAAAAATGGGCATATGTAAAAGATGGGTAAACATATGCGGTTGCGAGCACCAAAAAGGCAGTTGTGAGTAAAATTCTGAACATCTGAATATGATTTCTGTACAGAGATTTGAGATTTCCTCAAAATTCCAGTAAATCGCCCTCTGTCATACGATCTAGAGTACCTTTATAGGGAGAATATGAACAACTCGATTTGCGTAGCTCTCAGGGCCCAAAAGGGCGACAACGTGGAAAACGAAAGTTACTAGAGATGTGCCGCTGCCAACCCATGCATTTGAAAGATTAATCAATAGGGCCGACAGCGCATTGTAAACAAGCTTTCTTAAGTACAAGACTTTGACTTAACTGAGAAAATGTATGCGAAATCGAAGTTTTATACGTGCCATTATAAGTTTTGATCAGTAGACTTACGCTCGGAGTTTAAAATACCTCTGGATAATTCGAGTTCATAAGTTGTCAGCTTTTTTGGGCCCCGACAGCTACATGACCTGATCAAACCTAACCTCTAAAATTTTCGAGTTGTCCATACTCTCCCTGTAAAGGTACTATAATAAGAATGTGACAGCGTTTGGAGTTGAGCCTTGAAGAGTGTATTGTTTTCGTGTTGTTGTTGCTGTACGATTTTTAGTCACGATGAGATACATACGTTTTTACGTCAAAGGAGGGACGGAATGATGACACGAATTTAGGGAGGATTGAAAAGGGTCCAGAAAAGGCCTGACATGTGATGGCGATTCCATTAGTGGTGGCCGTTGCATGTCATGGAATAGAGATGACAGAAAAGAGGAAAAATTCTCTAATGTCATTCGGAGTGCTGTGCACAAAAAGACCTAATATCCTGGCTCATTTCAGAAACATTGCATGCGCCAGTACGTTCCCTACGCAGATAAGCGGTTCAGTTAATGAGCAAAAAATAGTCCATTTAAAGTGAGCCCCAGACTACTATTCTTAGAGAATTGACGTCGTGTAAGCTTTCAGGCGTTGCCAAATTTCCTTCAGTAAAATAGGGATTTTTAATGACATTTTTTGACGTTTTCAGAGTATTTCATTCTCAATTTGATTCACGGTAGAGTCCCTTTACAGAGAGAGTTAAGGAAACGCAGCTCATGGATGTCACAAACGGGATTAAAGATTACACGAATTAAAAGTTTTTCGTAATCTTTGATCAACTCATCTCCGAATTCCTGTCTCCGTTTTCTCTCTCATTCCGTTTGTTCCTTGCCGTGCTCCTAAATCCCGGTCCATTCCAGTTTAAATTCATTGCAATCGGTGAAAATGTAATCTTTATTCCCGTTTGTGAAACTGTGGAAGCATGACATACGGGAACCAATCAGAAATGGATTTGTATTGTCTTTACTCTCAGTGTGAAAGGACTCTAATTCACTAGTGTGTGGAAATTTCAAGGAAAACTGGTCATAAATATGTTAAATAATAATTAATATTTTAGTAGGGGAAACTTTGCAACTTATGGGGACTCATACAGTGACCTTTTCAGCTACCCATCATAGGAGCGGCGCAGTTAAGTTGTAATTTTCCATTCGATTGAGTTACACGCGGGTAATGTAGTTACAATCTGTCTCTTTGTAACCATCAAAAGTTCTTTAACAAAGAAGATGACGCAGATAACACTTTTAGCACCTTTTTTAACGTGTAAATAACACCGTGCCCTCCGCTTTAAAAAGTGTAATGGAGCACGCTCAAGAAAAAATTTAACACTCATTCTGCCGTGCTAAGGAAGAACGCCGTATGAACCTTCAGGCGTTGCCAAATTGCCTTCGATAAAATTTTTACTTTTGGGGAAAGCTATGTATATTTTACTTTGAAATTTTCAGAAACTTTAGTTGAAATTGCGAGCAAAAGTATCAGAAAATTCGTGTTTTATCAAAGATAATTTGGCAACTCTCGAATGTTCAGAGGAGGTTCTTCCTTAGCACGGCAGTATTGAACTTGTTGAGAATGAATCATGCTCTCCTTTAATGGCCCCGTTGCACTCACAAGATGCGATATGATTAGACTTTTTAGATGCGAGCTCAAAAAATCAGAAGAATCACGATGATCATATTAGATTACCAGGGGGTAATTCAATAACCTTTACGTTACGTCACGCCTAACGCCATTTCAGGACTTTCCCCATCTTCAGAGCATCACCCAACATATTAACATAAACAAATTTACATAGAAACACATTAAAATTATGTTATTCTCATTACATTTTCAGTGTTTTTGTCTAATAAAATGATCAAACCTTATGAAATGACACTGATAATAGCAAACACCTCAAACTAATTTTTTATGTGCATGGGGAAGCTCGTGTTGCATATGCTGTTTCTGAACAGAGCTACGATTTGTAGGGCCTAACTGAAAAGGGTAGTCCAATGGATCACTAGACAGGATACAAATTTAAGCATTCTGATACATGTTTCTCAACCAAATTTCCCGTAAAACGCGATTCGTGCAACGTAAATTACTGAAATAAACTCGTAAATAAGATATTTAATGTTTCTCGACGCGTGAATTCAAAATTCCCGCACATGAAAATACACTGGTCTACGTGAGTCAAATCGTTAAAGTGGCGGTCTCTGCGATACGAAAATATGGCTACGTCAATCTTGCCGCTTTGGCTCATCTACATAGTTCCTTTTTTGAATAATATATAGGGTGGGAAAGGAACATTGCTCAATTGTGAAGCCTGCCAAAACCGTTCGAGGTGCGATTTGACTCACGTAAGGTATTGCGTTTCTTGTGCACGGGAAAAATGAAATTGCTGATTTAACAATTTTGTCGTTATAAGAAGTGTCCGACATATTTCAATGTAGATTTTACAATAGAAAAATGCTAATTTAACCACCCCCGAGATTGAATCAGCTTTCCACTGCTGTAAAATGTACATTTGAAACATTTCGGACATATTTTTTAACAATTCAATTGTTAAATCAGCAATCTATTTTTTTTCCGTGTGAGCGGGGAATTCAAATTTACCGTCACCAATCTAAAATACAACGCTAATATCTTATTTAGGAGTTGATTTCCATAATTTTTGATGCAAGAATCGTGCTTTATATGAAATTCTGGTCAAAAAACATGTATCAGAATGATTAAATTCGTACCTTGTCTAGCGGTCTATTAATCTTAAGATTGGGAAACAAATCATTACTGACAAAATTTACGAAGTAAAAGAAACGAAGCGGGGGATACCTCTGTAATGGCCAACAATAACGACAGCATGACCCCCTGTTCTCCAATTCTTAAGGCAACCGTCTGAATTGAGTACTCCCGAAACGTAGTGCTGAAACGATAAATTGAGTTGAATTAATTTAAATTAAACAATCGACCAAGTCGAATCGATAAACGATTCGACTCAGTCGAATTGAAAATAAGGGTCCGCATTGAATGGGGAAAGTGCGTGGCCACCTGATCTTCCCGGGTTTTTTTCAGCCAATCAGACATCAACGACCACTTTCTCATTCCTTTTTGAAAATAACACGGACAATTGAAATACTTCCACCAACTGCACTCTATCATTGGCTCTCTGGAGGTCTACGAACCCCGGATGCAACTCCTGGCCAACCATCATTTTCTCTTAGATTACTTGGGTGAGCGGAAGTAAATTATCAATCGTTGATCTCCTTGATCTGAAACTGTCTCCCTGGCTCCTAATTAGACTAGGCATTTCTGCTAAACGGAACCAGAGACAGATGGAAAGAAGGGGTGTGCTCGTTAGTCGAGGACCGTAAGACTGAATAGGAATTATAAAGCGCCAGTGACGTCAGCGGCGACGAAGCCGCCACCGCGCTCGTCCGTCGTCCGATTTAACTCATGAGCCCTGTCCATGACGCTCTTTTTCCATGCCCAATGCTCATGAGTGCTTGGTAGAATGCAAAATCCCGCGTTTCCATTTCCCCAGAGGAAATCATGCCCACTTTTACATTGTCTCTTATACAGATTTCTAGAGCACATCCCATCTCTCCCACTCGTTTACAGTTTTGTGTACTGCCGCGTAATAAAGAAGAACGCCGTATGAATATTCGAGAGTTGCCGACTTTCCCTTGATAAAACATGTATTTTTGACGACATTCGTGCGTATTTTTTCTTGAAATTTTCAGATATTTTGGATTAAATTGCGTAGAAAATTGTCTGAGCATTTTGGGAAAAAAAATATTCAAAATTTCACCAGTAAATTTGGCTTAAATCGAAGAAAACTTGGCAGCGTCCAAAGGCTCATACGGCGTTTTTCCTTAGCACGGGAGAGTAGGAGAAATACGTTCGAATGTAATTGAATCCTTACTTGGAGCTGCGGGGGCCAGTACATATTCGTCGGGATCGGACTAATCTTCAAAGCATCCTCCACGTCTTGCTCCCTTACTTCAGCGAAACTTCGAATATTTGCGTAAACGGTCTTTGAGCTATCACACACGCCGGTTGCTGCCTTGTATGGGTAATCGGCTGCTTTTGGTACTCCAAATTGTTCTAAGTAGGTCAGAGCTTGTTCCACGTCTCCGCCCAAACAGCCCTTGCTCGGCCCCGGAACGCAGTCCACCAACGCTGCCAACATTTCCAAATTTACCTCAGTCCATTCGCCACAGATGGAAAGGCAGATTTCGAAAGGCTCGAGTATACTTCACAAAATTTAAAATAAGTCTGTCGCGCGCAAGAGATACAGCCAAATTAATATACCGTCACCTCCCGGCCAAAGTATCACAAGTGCCACGCGGCATTTAAAAATTTCCGCCGCCATTTTATTTGTTACAGAGAAATTGTTCAACGAAGCTGTCCTAAAATTTCAATGAATTTTCTTTGCGCTGCTGATGAAATTCAGTGAAATTTTCAAACAGATTCAACCAACATTTGCTCTGTAAAAAAATGTAATGGTGGTGGAAATTTTTAATCGTCGCATGACGCTTTTGATACTTTAGCCGGAAGGTGACGATAAACTTTTTACGTTCGAAATTGCACGAAAATCACGCTGGGCGCATTCTAAATTCTAATAATTCTAAAATCCACTCCTCATCGTGCAATCTACACGTAGTTTTTAACATGCTTTTTAAAGTTTCTCGCGACTGCGGGCAGTTTTTCTTAGTCACCACCGACCACCGGTTTCCACAGGCGGAGGAGTAAGAGAAACTGACCCGAGGAAACAAACGATCTCACTAACTTTTTCCATTGCCCAAAGTTCATGAAATTTCTTAAAATTTCACGCAAATATATTTGACATTTTTTCCATCTCTGGATCTGGATGAAGCATGAGCTAGAATGGATAACTAGATAAGGTTTGAATGTAAGCACTATGATATTATCTCCTCATAATTTTACGTAGAACACGAACTGTGCGACCCAAATTATTGAAGATAACTCCTAATTAATGTATGAACGATTTTTCATGCACGAATTCAAACCTCTCGTGAGGCGGCAGGGTATGATTGAAGCCTAAGTAAATATCGTCTATTTTCTTAACGTGGCGTTCAAGTCTCCACGAATGTCAAGAGCTACTAAAGAGTGCAAATGGACCGTCGGATGAGGTGCAAATTTAACCATTATGATATATGTTTCCTGGTCAAAATTTCACATGGAAAACGATTTATACTACGGAAATTACTGAAAGTTACTCATAACAAAAAGATTAACGTATTTCGATGCATAAATTCAAACGTCTCGCTAATTAAAAAAACACACTTCAATTGATTTAAAATACACAGTACACGATACAACGTAGCAGTCTCTGTGGTAGGAAAATGTAGTAACCTCAATCTCGACGCTACGGCTCTGCTTCTGTACGTTTCTTAAACTTTGAACAACACAAGTTGGGGAACTTTGCTCAATCAAAATGTCTATGCCAATCCGTTGTGAGCAATTTTATTCACGTAGACTCTCGTTTTCCTCGTGACTGCCTAAGAGATGGGCACAGCGGGCTGGTTGTTGAACTTGATAGACAAAGCGAGAGACAGAAAAGGCATAGAGGAGTATGGAGCGATCCTATTGGTTGAAATGGGCGGTTCCTATAGACTAAGAGAGAAATAGATGGACTATAACTATAGGGTCTCTCGTGGGCTGCCGTGAGTTACTCCATTACCTACCTCCTATGTCCATTGCAACCACCCGCCTCCACCAATAGAATCTCTCCATGTCATCCCTTATGTCTTCTTTGTCTACAGCTTTGTCTATCGATTTCAATAATCGGCCTGCTGAGCTGATGTTCATCCCCGGAGGACTAATAAGTTTCATAGTATTTTCTCAAATAAGAAGCTAGGCAAACAGGGTCTCGATCCTAGTCAAAGGTTAGGTCAATTAGCATCATGCACTTAAGCTATGAAAAGATTATGTGAATTGTAACAGATTTCACCATGAGTGGAATTCAGCAGTATAAATATCTTTAGACATGAATTCTGACGAGTGTTTTAAATGATTTGGTAGAGTGAAAATCAAGAAATATAAAAGAAAAAACTCTGTGTTTTGACAATTATCAAATTTGGCACGAAGCCACCTCAATATTTTTAAAAAAACACAGTATCTTTTCCTGTAGTGCATTCTTCCCTTTTTAAACAAAAATAATCCATGCAGAGTGCACAGAAATGTCAAAATCATGAGTTGAAAAACGCTGACTCCGCGAGTTCAAATATCAGAGCCAAGTGCAGTGCGGCCAGCGCGACACCTTTATTAGCGCCTACAAGACTGCAAGGATACTTCATGCATTGCGCGTACACCACAAAGGATACTTCACGCATTGCGCGTACATCATGGTGCGTACGCGCAATGCGCGAAGTATCCATGCAGTCTTGTAGGCGTTAGTGCGCGTTACCGCTAGCCGCACTGCTCTAGTATATGAACTCTTGGAGTAAGTGTTTTTCAGCTCATGATTTTGAAATTGTGTACACTCTGCATGGATTATAGTCGTTTAAAAAAATAGAAATATTACGTAGGTAAAATCCAACTAATTACCTTTCCTTCCTCACATGCTTATCAAGCACGTGAATATTGGAACTTTGGGACTTAGGCTCCGAGTATAATATATTTATGCACACTTAATTTAACGACGCCCAATGTATTAGAATATAGAACTATAATGTCTGGCTTGTATGAAAACTTAAATGCATAGTGAAACTGTACATGAAATATGGTATTTACGTTGTTTTTAAATTGAGCCAGAAAATTTTGTTCCCAGTTACACGATTTAGACCAATTGATTCATGTGGAAAATGGCTCACATTTCACGCGGAGCCCGTCGGGAAAAAGTGTGAGTATGTTAGGGTGTGTGTGTTTCTGTTCGGTGCACTCACCTTGCGTCGAAATCTTAATGGGCGTCTTTGCCGCTTGAGACAAAAGGATCTCAACAGCACCAGCTGCCGCAATAGCCCAACATGAATTGCATAGTTTGTTTTGCTGGTTCTGCAAGAAATCGAAGAACACTCAATTTGACACTGTATCTGCTGAAGTATATACATATTGCACGTAAATGTTGTTCCAAAACACGAGGACTATTGTATAAGAGATATTCAGACAGTATCAACGAATTAAGCTGTGAATTCATCGACGGGTGTTCTAATAAAGTCTTCGACAGCCAGCCCAGTAATGTCAACAACTGTCGTCCCGATTAAAACATCAATGAGTGGCGTCATCAAAGGGTGTCCCAATTACGCCACCAGAGGGTATCCCGATAACATCGTTAACGAGTGTACCGATGACATCATCAACAAGTGTCTCAATGAAGTCATTAACGAGTCTCGGTGATGTAATTAACGGATGTTTTAAGAAATACATTTAAAATACTATAAATAGCTGATCCCAATTAATTTAATAATCAAATGGTTAATTAAATTTTAATACACCTTTAGGTGCTCAAGACTACGGTCGGATTGACTCGAGGTTTCCGTTTAGCAGAAATACGTCCGATTGCACGTATTTCTGTCAAACGGAATTGTAGACGAGTGGGGAAGATGGGGTGCGCTCTATAAATCTGCATCAAGAACAATATAGAAGTGGGCGTGATTCCCTTTGGAGAAATGGAAAAGCGGGTCTTGACAGTCTGTCAAACGGAACTATGTGCAAACTGAAAGCGGCATTATGTGCCGTGGGCACATGACAAGAGCATTGTGGACAGGGTTCATGAGCTAAAGAGTCCCACCACCGATTTCCTCATCGTCACCTAGCTCGGTCGTTGCCGCTGACGTCACTGGCGCTGTATAATTCTCACTCATTCCACGGCCCGCGACTAACAAGCACACCCCTATTTCCCCACCTATCTCTAGTTCCGTTTGCGAGAAATACATGTACGTCCAATGGGCCATCCAGTTGCGCTGGTCACAGAATCTTGTTTTAATGCTTGACTCTTGTAGATTAGCTGAAAATTAGAAGATCGGTCCAAACAGCAACTTTCTACGTTGAATATCAATTGAGATATTGTCCTTTGAAAAGGACGTCAGTTTTTAACGTCATCCCCCGCGGTAGTGCATAACATGCTATGTACTACCGCGGTGGATGACATCATCGAGTTTTTCTAGGCGCGATATATCGGTTAATTTTCACCGCGGAAAGTTGCTGTTCGGACAGATCTTATTATTTTCAGTTGCTCAGCAAGGATGAAGCATCAAGGACGATTCTGTGAGCAGCGCAACTGACTCGTTTCAATAACGAGCCCGGAGATGGAGAAGTGGTCACAGAGTATATGGATTGCATTTTGCAAAAAGGAACCACTAGCATTGCAATGATGCTAAGATTGTGCAACTTCATCCTTTGCGATAAAATTGCGGAAATTATGAAAAACTATGAAATTTAGATGGTAATTTTTGTCTTAAATTTACAGTTTTTAGCGAGTGAAATAGAAACTATTGAGGGATAATCGGGTTTTTCCTCCAAGACAAAAGAAGTTGCACAATCTTAGCAACATTGCAATGCTAATGGTTCCTTCTTGCAAAATGCAATCCATATCATGTTCTGTGACGTGGTAGAAGCGGCCCTTACTTGGGAATCTGTCGGTGGATAGCTGGCAGCTGGAACTCGCCAGTCCTTAATAGGTCTCCCTGATGGGGCATTTTGGTCGATCCAATATGTGAAATAACTCGGCTTCCAGTTGGGCGAGAGTGAGCGGCGCCCCGGACGGGAGCGGTTTCTCGGGGACGGAGGGGCTGAACGTGAACGTCCTCTGACGTCGTCGTCGTCGCCAGAAGAAGACGCAGCGTCGGAGGAGGACGTGGAACCCTGACGGAACAGCATCCGCGGTCGCAGCCGTGGGCTCTGGCTCTCGTCGGGTTCTTCGTCAGATTCTGCCTCGACTATTCCCTTAATATTCAGGTACTCCTCACCTGCACACGATTCCAAGCATGTGGGCATGTAAGGATCAGTGGGCTGATTCTTAATTTTGATAGACAAAGCGATAGACAAAGAAGCAGTTGGAAGTATGGAGAGATGCTATTGGTTGAAATGGTTAGAGTCGGCTACTTTCTCTCGGAAAAAATGAAAAAGGGCGGAGATTTGGAAACGCCGCAATGGAGATACGTGGTTTTGCACTTTAGCCATAGCAATATAACCGAGAGGAAAACTAGCCAAACATATTTAACAATATAACAAGGTGGAGAAATGGTGCTGGGTCCACACCATTTCGCGGGGAAATCAAAGCTAAGGAGTTCCAAAAATTAAAATTAAAGTAAAAATTAATTTGTTGAGCTCTAATGCGCACGAGTATGAAACTGAGGGGGGAGAGTGTTCAGCTCAGGCAGTTTTCATAGGAATATTAAGTTGGCAACCATGCAAACTGCCTGAGCTTAACACTCTCCTCCCTCAGTTTCGTACTGGTGCGCATTAGAGCTCAACAAATTAATTTTGACTCTAATTTTAATTTTTGGAACTCCTTGGCTTTGATTTCCCCGCGAAATGGTGTGGACCCAGCACCATTTCTCCACCTTGTTACATACAGTTTCGGGCCACTTCTTAGTGTTTTTTTTCTTCATTTAACAATATATATAATATTTATATTTTTTTAAGGTTTTTTATGTTTTGGTCACTTCATTTGCTAATTTCTATATTAACAAGCAAAAGAAACTGTGTCTAATGTGGCATGATCCCTGTCATGTACGTATTCTTGCGGATCTCAGGGCTCATATCTGATAGGATTCTATAGTTCCTTTTGATTTAAATACATCCAACTGTCGGTTAATGTTTCTTATCATGTGCGCTCTTCTGCGGGCTGATTGTTAATATTGATAGACAAAGCTGTAGACAAAGAAGAAATAGGGCGTATGGAGTGATTGTATTGGTTGAAATGGTTGGTCCCCATAGACTAATAAGGGAGAAAATTATGGGCTAAGTATAGGGTCTCTCGTGGGTTGCTGTTAGTTAGTCTATTACCTAGCACCTTTGTCCATTGCAGCAATCCTCTTACACCAATAGGACCCCTCCATAACCCTCTTATCTTCTTCGTCTATAAATTTGTCTATCGATCTCGACAATCAGCCCGCAGAAGGGCACTCACAGTAAGAAATAGTAACTGACATTTGGACGTTATTTAAATCAAGAAGAACTATATCCGATCAGATATGGGCCCTGAGATCTACAAGAAGTCGTGCATGACAGGGCTCATGTCATAGATATAGTTCCTTTTGTTTGTTAATGTAGAAAGTAGGACACGAAGTAACCAATACGTAAAAAAACGTGAAAAAAATATAAATATTACATATAGTCAAATATTTTTGGCTAGTTTTTCTCCTGGTTATATTTTATGGTGGAAGTGCACCACCACACATCTTCATTGCGGTGTTTCCAATTTTTTCTAGCCAACTCCAAAGTTTGAACTTTATGAAGAATATTTTCCTAGTAGAGAAGAAAAATCAAGAAAGTTTCCAAGAAATTAGAGTACTTGTAAGGACGGGTTAGGTCATGGAACTTTTAGGGTCCAATAGAGCAGCCAATTTATGAACTCAAACTGTCCAGACCGATTTATTATTAGAATTGTTACGACCAGTTGTTCGTTCAGCACGTTAGTTCCAGTAATTTCCGTCGCGCGAATCGTGTTCTATGTGAGATCCTGGTCAGGACAAAGCATCACAATGGCTCGATTTGTGCCTTGTCTACTCGTTCAAGTTTTTTTCCACACGGAAATGACAGCGCTGTCTATTCAAAATTTTCCTGATTTTTGCTGACGATGCATAGAATGATTTTTGAAATTTTCAATTAAAAATGCCCAATAGTTTCCGGTTAAAAACAAAAATTGTGAATTTGAATGTGCAGCAACGTTCCCTCGTCCTGGAAAGGGCGTTATAAGTGGTGTTGTACTTACGAGTAAAATCTGTGAATGGGCCGACGCCGTAAACAACAGATCCTCCCGACCCTTCAGACGCCATTAGTTCCTTGATTTCGACTAAGTTTTCCTTGAAAATTTTGAACCGTTTCTTCCATTCCTCCTCTGTGCCGTAATTTTTATTGTATGTCTCTTGAAATATTGCGAATTGTTTGTCTACACTCATTTTCGAGATTTTATTCTAAAAATCAATAGAAACATTTTTTAGAGGCCAAAAAACCACTCGTTTGATTAATCCTAGTAATGGCGTATTAAAATAATATGGTTATTATGTCTCGTATGGGAATATTTGGATTTTTTTTTATTTACTCCCAGAAATGCATAAATTGCATCTAAGGGTCATTTTATTATCATGAAAGTTACCATTTTGAATACTTTGCAGCTTAGAATTATTAAAACTATATTGTTTTTAAAATTGAAATGGATCATTTCTTTGGAGATTTGAAGAAATATTTCACGGGTATTAATTCAGAAAATCGTGTTTTATCCACGAAAATTTGTCAAAAGCCGAAGATATATTCGGCGTTCCTCCTTAGCACGACAATTTACTTAAGGTGATTCGACGGACGCCATTTTTTATGTCAGAGCAACGTGCGATATATCGCATCGATTCGTCCCATAATTTCAGCTCCTTGTCATTTTTTCAAATTTTGAGATCTCTCTTTTGTTGTCGTGAGACGAAGAATTATTCATGTACCAAATTTGACGAAGAAATTCAACGTAGTAAATGCGTCGTATTTTTTGCAGTTTCGATCATGCCAGTATTGCCAGTATCAAATGCGATATTTTTTCTCTAACAAAAACCACGCCCCTACGTTGAATTTCTTTGTCAAATTTGATACATGAATTCTTCAGTCTCATGACGACAGAAGTGCGATCTCAAAATTCGAAAAAAATGACAAGTAGCTGCAATTATCGAGCGAATCGAAGCGAGATATCGCACGTCGTTCTGACACAAAAAATGGCGTCTGTCGAATCACCTTAAGGTCTGGATACACGATGAAATTCCGAACTAATTCTGATCAAAGTATATCAGTTGATGACTGATGGTCACCATGCAACAGTCCTGTTTGATGAAACTTGGACGGGTCTCAAATTTTGATCAGAATAGATAAGAGTGCCAGCATTCATCTTTCCTTGCCGCACGAAACATTCCTGCCAAGTTTTCATTTTAAAACTAAGCAAACCAATGATTTTAAGATTGATGACTCCCGACGCTTTGATGGTAATTGGTTCGGGAATTTGATCGTTTATCGAGGCCTTTAAGCGGTCTCTTTCCAGAACTCCGCATAGTTATGATTTTTGTTTTTGCAAAATTTGGGGATTCCTACCATAAGTTCTTGCCTGGCAATCTTCACTTTGCCTTTGAGTGATCTTGTCCAAAGAATCCTGTAATAGCTGTAGCGACTCATGAATGGGCGCGCTTCCTTGAGGTTGAATTGGCAAACGCAATCGCCCTTCGAGCAGGTTGCACGAGTCCACGGGAGGTTGTACAAAGAGTCCCTGCCCCAGGCGGAGTTACACTGGACCTCACAACTAGGCAAGTCCGGAGTGCCTCGACCACACGCCCCATCAGAATAAACTGAGCAACAAACACATCTAAGAACTTATCCAAGGGGAATCGAACAATTTTGTCGAGAAGAAACAAATAGATCGTATTCGACACATCAAACGGGTGAGATTATTGCCGAGTTGAACATGGCAATTTAATTTGTCACGACAGAACGTTCAAGTGAATTCTTTAGATAATTTAAAGAAACTAGGGGTCTGCCCCCTGCCTGCTACGCGGTCCGACCCCCGGAGTGC